ACGTATTGTTCGATATTCAATGCCCTAGCACTAAGTTAATCCCACGAGTGCATAAAAGATTGACATAGCTGCTATAATGAATGGTAATACTCAGCGTAAACTTGTTATGTCAGGCATAAAGTACTAAACCCACGAATGCATATTACGCATATTACAATTTACGAAGCATTTTTAAATTCCCATGAACAAACAAACGTTCACTTTACAAAGATATTTTAATTTTTTAAAACAAATTAATCACCCTGTCAAAATCCTTTGTGTTACGGCATTGAAATTCGAACAATACGTTATTTCAATGATTTTGGTTTTTTTTGAGACACCCTGTAGAGAGTTTAAGATCTACGACGCGGCCGGCTCAACGACGCGCTTGCGAAAGAAAGAAATCTGTCATGCAAGACAAAAACTGTGAATAAATTTGTGGTCCCAGGGGTATTCTCAACGGCTTTGTCATGCTCAGCAGAACGTTAAACTAAGCCTTATCACGTCTTTCAAGCAACGCGAAGCTTATTGCGACCCAAAAGGTGATACTTAAAGTCGAAATTACAGCAAACATTGCATCGCTTTAGTCAAACTTAGCAGTTTGTAATGCTATTTGGAAAATCGTCAAACATTTATCACAGTAATGAAATTGCTTAGCGTTCATTTTTTAGCTGAAATTCAGACCGCGTCGTTGAGCCGGCCGCGTTGTGGATCTTAAACTCTCTACTAGCGGGGGTCGGACAAATTACATGAAAAGAAAATGAAACTGTCTCATAGTTCATGAATCGATCTCAATGATTGAGTTCATAATTTACTGGATAGACCCAATCAAACATGGATATATATTATATATGACGTTAGGCAAAACCTATCATACAGCTATTTCAATTAAGGTTGTCCACGAGTGAAGCGGAAAAGTCGAATACGAGCGCGAAAGGCTACTGGGAATCGCTAAAGCATTAATGAATTTATTAGGGTTTCCCATAGATATCTAATATACACTAGATAGCGCATCTCTTTTAGTAAAATTGAAGCCAAGAATATTACAGCGGTTACCCCCATTTGAATAGATGGCGGCCATGTTGGAGTTTCCCACTCGCTAATAAACGCTTAAAAACAACAATAACTTTCATCATTTGAACAGTTTAAAAATGTATTTGGAATAGGTTTACCTTAATGTTTAAGTTCCGTGTTTAAGAAATAGAAAACATGCGAATCTTCTCATTTCATGGGAATATCCTGAGTCTGCAATCACGGCTTCAATTTTTGAATTGTAGAATAATTAGATGCACTATCTAGTGTATATAAGATATCTATGGGGTTTCCAGCATTCTTTCGAGCTCGTATTCGACTTTTCCGCTTCGCTCAGGGACAACCTTAATTGAAACAGCTGTATACAGGCTCGGTGTATCAAAAAAGGTTTCTTCTTACCAATAAAGATGAGATTTTCAGTTGTCTAACGATACCTTTCTCGCATCACTGAGGGCAAAA